GGAATTTCCCTTCTCTCTCTCTCTTTCTGCCGAGCGGCGGCAGTCGTTTATCGGCGAAAAATCAATTAACCAAGCCCCAAAGGGGAAGATTATGAAAAATCGTTTCGTATCCGCGCGACAAGGCGAGAAAATAACGGGAAAAGTGGTCGAGCAACGAATCGAGCGAATAAATGAAACGCCCGTGTGACTACTCTTCGAGTCGAGAGGAAGGAATTTCTTTGTGCAAGCGAAACCGGGGCAGAATCGGTCTTGGAAGGGGAGTCCGGCCGAAAATCGGACGAGAAACGAGATCGTGCCCTCCCCCCTCATCCTTTGACGTAGGTTTTTCGACCTCGATTCGTCCCTCTCCTCGACTGGACACGAGCGAAACGAACGATCGGGTAAAAAAAAAAGAAGGAGAGAGAGAGAGAGAGAGAGAGAGAAGGAAGGACGAGGGAAGAAACGCGTGGAAAATTGATCGCTTTGAGAAACGTGATCGTTCGTTTGTGGACGAATGATGTCCACGACCGCGTCACGATGACCAGCGGAAAAGGAGAATCCCTGTGGGAGATGTAATTGGAAAGCTTTCGAATATTAATCGATCGCGTCTTGAAAAGGCTTGATTAACGATTGATGATATTAACGAAACGAGGCGATTAACGTACACGGATTACTTTCTCGGGATTTTCCATTCCTTTTTCTCCCTTTTTTAATTTCGATTTAATCGCAGTATATTGTTGATTTATTTACGTTAATTAAGAACGGATATTATTTCAATTGGCGCATTAATTGGTTACGTTTGTCTCTTTTTTCTTTTTCTTTTTTTTTTCTTAAGCGTGATAAATGAGCGTCGGGTATATAATTAAAATTGCCGTGCAGCAAATCTGACGAAGATTGGAAAAAAGGCGGACGCGATCTGCAATTTGTTTCAGTCGGAACGAGCAATTAATCGATCTTACTTGTTGTCTACGTAGTCTTCGTCACGAGGGGTCACGCCGATCCGCTCGTTTTGCGAGTAAGATGCCGCGATTACGTTCCACTCCATAGTTGAATGGGTTGTAAAGTAATTTCATTCTTGTTTGATGCTTGCTTTTTTAGCGCGGAATTTCTAAACGAGCATTTTATGTTCCTCGTTTTAAATCCCTTCTTTTTTCTTTTTCTCTCTTTTTTTCAAACGCGAACCAATACGAAATCGTTGTTAAACTTATTTTTCGAAACAGAGATAAGTATCTTGAACGATTCGGTTTTTTTTAATACGCATGGCGTAACATTTGTATAGTTTCGCGCGATTACAGTACGAAAACGCGAAGTGTAAATAAATGGGACAGCGAAAAGATTTTTAGTGCAGAATCTCTAAAGGAAATTGATTTCAGACTGTGTCGTGATTGCTGTGAGACGAAAGGGTGATTGTGACGAATGTCGACGAAAAAGCCTCTGTTCCAGAAAGAATTTTCCCCCAGGATAATTTCCCTCGCAGACACCACCAAGGATGTGTGTGCGACGATCATGTCAGAGTGGAGAAACAAGAGAACACAACACAACAGGAGCATCTCTTCGTAGCATTCCGGACGGTGACAAGAGTAAAGGGGGAAAAGATCCATGGCAGCACACACGTGGCGTTCTTTTTATATGTATGTATAAGTAATTTTGTTTTTTTCTTTCCTTTTTTCCATTACGAATCAGACCTGGAATAGTAGGGTCGCAGAAGGAATTCTTAACTCGCGATACATGTAATTCGATACACTCTCGTGATATAAGAAATAATTATCATTCTCGTACGAATATCTAAATCGTTTTCGATTGCGTTTTATCGTTCCTTCAAAATATCACGTTTTAAAATCTCCTTCTGCGAATTCTCCGGTTACCGTCACGATCGTGAATCTCGTTCATTAACGATCCCTTATCAATAATCATTAATCGAAGACAAAAGCCGGATAAACGAATCATTTTCGTGCAATCACGAAAATTCGTAATTTCGTAATCGTGATTCTTCTCTAATGGATCATTGCAACGAATCCGCTAACTGGCCAACTGCAAAACGTTGCAATGATCGAGTGTAGAAGGTGGCACGATCGTGGCTGTAACCAGTGACTGTACAAACATCCACCAACTCTCTCCATAAGAGTTTATGTGTTACATGATAAACTTGTGGCATGCAATTTGGTCGCTTATGTGTCAATATGGAGCAAGGATATCACGGATAAAGATATGTGCGATATGTACACATTGCTTATTTACAAAGAAAAAAAAAAAAAAAAAAAGAAAGAAAGAAAGAAATTCCCAGTTTTCTCAGAGCGGGGTAGTGTTACGATGGTAGTTGGCCCTCGTAAATTTTCGCCCCTACCTGTCTGTATTCTCTTCTACCGATTCCACCTTTCCTGTATCCGCCTTTCCACCAACCAACCTCCCCCCTCCCCTGTTCCACGAGAGTAACGAGAAATATTCGTTGGACTTTCGCCGCGTTCTCGTGATTGGAATACTTTTAAGTACCTAACTGGGAGCTCTCTAACTCTCTTGCCTTCTCTCTCTCTCTCCCTGTCTCTCTGTCTCTCTCTATCCTTTTCTACGTTCGAGTCTCTTCCTCTTAATCTGCCAGGGGATTAAACGAGTTTTGTCGAGAGAACTTGAGGATAGGTAGAGAGAACGTGTGCGGATACATTTTGTGTGTTGTTCTTAGAACGAGATACATTGATACATTGGTATAAAGGGAATGAGACAATTGTTCGAGCAAATGAAAAATAAAAATATGATTCTTGGTGGACAGGTTTTACAAAAATAAATTTCGACAATTAAATTTCTTTTTCTTTTGATTAAAAATTTAATCTTGGAGATTGTGATGAGGATGAGACAAACATTTTTCTTCCTTTTTTTTTCTTTTTTAAAGAACGATATTATCAGAAGCGAATTTTATCGAGCAGCGTAGAAAATCACATTTTTATTAACTCGATCAATCACGATGCCGTAAACGCGTTCTCACGATGGCCTCACGTTGGGAGCCGCAATGCGTTAATAGTTTATCGACGGTCGAATGCTTGCTCGCCAATTACAGTCCACGTCTATTAACCGTTTCGACCGGCCATTTAAGGGAACTAATGAAAATCCCGGCGGAGTATAAGCCTCGTTGCTCTCGATCGATCCTTCGAGAAAAAATTCCGAGACGAACGTGTTTTATTTGTAGTGTATTTTTGAAAAAAAAGAAGAAAAAAAAAATCCGAATGAGAAATCTCGTACGAAAACGCACGAGAAGAATGGTCGCCTTTTAACGAACAACGTCCAGAGAGAGAGAGAGAGATTGGAACGAGACGAAGAGAGGAATTAAAAAGAGAAAGAGAGAGAGTATAAAAGTGAAAGAACAGAGAGAGAGAGAGAGAGAGAGAGAGAGAGAAGAAGGTAAAGAGGAAGAG